GTAGGGCGGGCGGTAACGGCCCCGGTACGGGCTGGGGCCGTTGTGTGGGCAGAGGAGAGCAACCGGGCTCCATAAAACCAGTCTGGGTGGGACCGGACCCGTGCGCTGCGTGCCACGTCCTGCAGCAACGCCCGGGAGACGCTGGCAGCGCTCTGGATGTGGCTGTCACCCCTCGGTCACTCTGGGATCCCCGGTTTTGCTCATGCTCCTGCCAGAAGCTTAAAGGTGAATTGTTACTGCTGCGTCCGAACAACAACATTTAGTAGTCAAATATCTCTGGTTTGCTGGGGTTTGAATAAACTTACAGAAGACAAGAAGCATCGTGAAGTCAATTAAATTAACAGTCGGATATAAGATAATTAACTCAGCTCTCATCACCAGGATGAGATCAGCCATAACTTCCTACCCAAGCCGGACAATTCGTGAATCTGATTTTTGCCACTGGCAATTTTAACGCCACTGACCATTTTTAATTAATAGTTAACCAGCAAATCTCAATACCTATCTCTCTGTTCAAAGTCCACCTGAAAGCCACGCTGGAATTTACTTTTCTGTCATGGAAACAAACTGCAGCTCCCTAAGCCAAAATCCGTCAGTCGCCGGAGCACTGATGGCTTCACGTGGCTGCAGAGGAGGTCACGGTCTTCCCGCTGGGGTTGACACTTGGTGTGTTAATCTGTCGCATTGTTCTTTTCCTGCAGCTGACAGAGTTGTTGCAGTCGTATGCGGCCTCCTTCAGAGACCCCCTGATGCTCCAGCCCCCAGAGTGGTTTAAAGCGTTCATTTATTGCGAAGCCTTCTTGCAGATGCCTTTCTTCCCCGTCGCAGCGTACGCCTTCCTGAAAGGTTGGTGTGAACCAAGTGTGAGAACGTGTCCTGTGCAGCGTTTCTGCGTCACGCTAAATCATTTTCCTGGGTTGCTACTGGTACCCATTTTTTTCTGCTTGCTGTGTAACGTGGGTAAATGGCTCATCCCACAGTTACTATGCTAACCTAAAAGCCACTGAATTCTGCTTGTTTCAAAATACTTAAGTATCATTTCCTTTTTTCTTCTGTACAGGTGGCTGCAAATGGATAAGGACTCCTGCAATTATCTACTCCACCCATGTTGCCACAACGCTGTGCGCGATCCTTGCGCACATCCTGTTCCACGACTTCTCCAAGTCGGAGCACTTGGGACCTCAGACGCAGCGCGAGCGCCTGGTTCTGCTCTCGATATACCTGCCCTACCTGCTGATACCGCTCCTGATCCTTTTCACCATGCTCTACAACCCCCACTATAACCACGTGGAGAAGAGGAAAAGGAAGTAACGCCCTTAACACTTGGAAGCACGACACTCGCGCTGGTTCGGATGCCTCTGGGACAAACATCTGGCTCGCGGCCTTGGCTGCAGCTGCCATCCCCAGAACATCTGGCTCCTGCGAGGGGAATGGGGATGGGGTTTGAGTTTCCAGCTCCCTCCATCACACCCAGCTCTGCAGGCGCCTGCTCCATTCCAGCGGTTTCTGGGCACACTCGGGCGATGGGACCTCGCTCCTCTCCGCTGACAGTTTTGTCACAGAAAATGAACTTTTAACCATGTGGGGTGTGATGGGGGAAACGGCAGCTGATGCTTCTCTTTCTTTTTTCTAAAATGCCTGTTAGAAAACCACTCTGTGTCTTCCAGGAGCATATTCTACAAAATCCATAGTCTGAACCCGAGTCTATCCAGATTTGCAAAGCTGTGCTTTCGGAGCATTTCAAATCACGCAATAACTCTCAACTTCCTCACCCTTTCCTTTAAAATTCCACCTGCCTCTGCTCTGCTTCAATTCTGATTAATCCTAAATGTCTGATCAGTGAGAAATGTGCCAAAATCTGGATTTATGAATCCTTAATCTTTGTTTGACAGTGACACTTCCTGGGGGATTGTGAAGATCTTCAGAAGTTGTAAACAAGGATTTGTACATTTCTCTTCCTCAAAATCACTTTTAATATGGAAATAAATAACTAAACGCATTAAACTGCACTTAAACTTCTTAACGGGATGAGTAAAAGGAACTTCCAGTGGCCATGAGACCGTAGATAGTTCACACAGTAAATACAAGTTACAGTAAACAAGACGCGTGGCTCAGAGAAATTCTGGGCTTTGTTCTAATTCCATAGATAAAATAGTTTGGTCAATATTCACTGCTGTGCTCGTGTCCTGTCCTATGAGAAATGCTACGTACAGGAAAACCTTGACCCTGTCCAGGGAGCTGTGCACTCCAGCTCAGAAATAACACAGCAGAAGCACCCGATTCTGGTATACCCAGAAAGTCTGAAAACAATAATTTATTGATTAGTTTTTTTTGAAAGAGCTGTACAATTCAAAAAGTGACAGAACGTAGCAACAGCAGCACCAATTCAACTCCAGTGCGAATCAGAGCTACTGACTGTACAAAGCGTCTATAAAATCAAAGGACAGAACAGTCTACACCTGTTAGAGAGCCCTCCTTATTGCCACACTGAATTAAAAGACACTTCCATGAGTACAAACCATCTCTTCATTCATACACAGTGAAAAGATTGCATATTTATGGAATCAGCAAGGTTCTGGAATGGTCAAGTTTCCATGTTAGTTCGTTTTTATTCCGAAATCCTCTATTTCTGAAAAATGAATTGGTCGATGAACTCGTTCTGGTCTGCTTCAATTTTACACAGAGTCTCGTACTCGATTCGGTACCTGGAGTTCAAAGCAGGCGGTTACCAGCTGCTCCCTGGGCTTGGGTGCCACCGATGGTGACAGTGGCTTCCCAGCTTATGCGACGCCCAACAGCACTTAACAAACCTCACCTTTCCAGCTGCGTCTTCTTCTCTACTATTAAAGCCTGAAGTTGCTGTTCCTGAGCTTCTCTCTGCTTTGCTACAGACTTCAGCAAATTCCGTGCGCCGATGGCCTGTCAAGAGGGGACAGCAAATGAGGTAGGGAACAAAACTGAGCGGGGGTGGCCGCTCCTGCAGGCAGGCGAGCTCTGCTTGTAATTTTTTCCCAAGAACAAATAGGGAAAAAGTAATTACCTACAATTGTGCTACACATTAACTGCTATTTCCACAATAACATGGGAAAAACCCACACCACTCGGTGACACGTAGAAAGGCATAAAGACAACTTCAAAGGTAGCCACAGAGCTATTCACCCATCTGGCCTTTAGAAAGTCCTGCTCCTCCTCACAGAGCCTCTTGAGGACTAACTTCTACTAACAGGAATGATTAAAAAATGCATGTTCTATTGAAGTGCAAATGGATAACAAGCAGGAATAGCCGGACTGTTAAATAATATTTAATAATGAGCATTGTGACACAGGAGGGTGCCTGTGAGAGTTCTCTAGGCGTTAATATCGGTGATAAAGGCCCACACGTCCACGCTGCAGACAGATGCACAGAACTGCCACAGAAATTCCTGTATGCTGCCGGCAGGAAAAGGTTCCTCATGCCGTAAAAGGAGGGAGGAGAGATCTGGTGTTTCATGCACAGAGTACACAGAGATTAATCGCACGGTACCTTCATCTTCTCGATTTCGGCAGCTTTTGCCAGTTGATCCACAAGTTCGATTAAGGTGCCCACTGTTTTTTGGAATTCTACGATTTCTGCAAAGAAAAGAAAACGGCAATAGCATTCAAAACAGCCCTGAAGACGACTGCTGCTCCTGCTGCACGCTGCAATCTTTAGATGCGGCTTAATTCTTAGGAATGACTGTAAACAAGTACACGTTAAGATTTTCCTCGCTACCAGCCAGGCTACAAAAAGAGTAAGAGAAAAGCCCTGAAGTGCCCCTGGGAGCCCTCTGTGCTGCTCCCCCAGGCTTCAGGGGCGCTCAGCGGGGCTGTCACGGCCACCCCGCGTCAGAACGCGCTGCGGTGCGGGCGGGCACCGGGGGTTCCGGGGGCACTCACTGTCCAGGAAGGCCCTGCACTCCTCGCGGAGCTGCGCCGTCTGCTGCGCCGCCTCTGGGTCGAGGACCCGCA